ATATCAGTAAAAACAGACTCAGAATGAGGTACATAAACCAAGTCATGTTGCATTTTGCCTTTGAAAGATTTACAGGCTACTAAGCACCCAAACTATCTTAAATCTGCAAAGAGCTGTAAAATATCTGCCTCTAAACTGAAAGCACTAACACTTGTAGGAGCTTAAATTTGATTAATGATACCAATTGCTGTAGACATTTGATACTCAGATTTTGACCTTAAACAAAGTATGAGCCGCTGAAGTACCAGCAGTCATCAGTTGTAATTTACAGCTATGTCTTTTCCTGCTCTGTCTTCTTAATAGTCCTCCAAGATTTGTCAGGATTAAGCCCGGTCACCTTTTTGTATGAGGCTTTGTAACGAGAAGAGTTGATTTTGATAGTTCATCAAGATGAAATCAGTGCTGAAGCAATGACTTATTGACCTTGGATGTGGGTGTCACAGTAGGAAAGTTGTGAACTGAAGCCACCTCTGTTCTGCTTCTAGAGGCACAGGGTTATGTTTTCACATGAGTAGACATGCTAGCCAGGCCACGAAAGCTGTGCTAGTGTGAATCCAGTTGAACTACTTGAACCCAAATTAGTGTGCTGCATTCACTGCTCTTGAGATACACTAGGAATAAAAAAATCTGTGTCAGTCTGCACCAGAGGTCTTCCTGGTTCTCTTTCTTCATTCTTTGTGCACACTTCAAACCGTGTGGAAAAATCTTATGACAAGTAGGCAACATGTACCTTTGGTTATCCCTGTCCGGACCCACTTACAAGTGTCAGTAGAACCAGTTTAAATTTTATCAGTGGTGCAAAGGTTCCTTGTATTATTAGGTTTCCTGAAATACTCTTTCTATAACTATTTTAAAGAAAAGCATAAAGAAGCTCACTAACTCAGTTAAAGCTCTTTTTGGATGAACTGGAGGAAAGTGTCATGTTCCCTCTGTGATGGATGCAGCTAAGATGCAGGCTGTACAATTAATCCTCAAAAAGACCACTAGATATACGTATCTAGCTATCTATATATATGTACATATAGAACTTTATTCATGTGTAAGATCATATAATGTTGCAGTACTGGTCTCTGGGTAATGCTATACTGTTGACTTTATAGTTAAAATATTCAAAGCAGATGAGAATTACTGGGATAGAATAGAACAGAACAGAACAGAACAGAATTGAATATTTCAGCTGGAAGTGATGTACAACAGTCACCTATCCCAACTAACTGCCTGGCCACTTCAGGGCTTTTCAAAAGTTAAAGAGTGTTATTAAGGGCATTGTCCAAATGTCTCTTAAACACTGACAGGCTTGGGGCATTGACCCACCTCTCTAGGAAGGCTGTTCCAGTGTTTGACCACCCTCTCAATGAAGAAATGCTTCCTAATGTCCAGTCTAAACCTCTCCTGGTGTAGCTTTGAACCATTCCCACTTGTCCTGTCACTGGATGCCAGGGAGAAGAGATCAGCACCTCCCTCTCCACTTCTCCTCAGGAAGCTGTTGAGAGCAATGAAATTGTCCTTCAGATTCTTTTTCTCCAAACTAGACAAGCCCAAAGTCCTTAGATGTCCCACAGGACATTCATTCCAGCCCTTTCACTGGCTTCGTTGCCCTCCTCTGGATGCCTTCAAGGACCTTCACATCATTCTTAAATTGTGGGATCCAGAATGGCACACAGTACTCAAGGTGAGGCCACACCAACGCTGAATACAGCCAGGTAATCACCTCTTTTACCAGCTGGTTTTACTGTGTTTGATGCACAGGATGTGTTTTGCCCTGTTGACTGCCAGGGCAAATATTGCATACTTTCATACTGAATATTGCATTGTGTTTGTAGTCAAGCCTAGTTCTTCAAATATCCAAGAAAACTGCTATACAGAAGACTGCTGAGTAAAAACTACATTGGTCCTGAATTGTGTTGGGAAAAGGAACATGTGGTAGGAGATAATAACCTAAGCTTTCGCAGATTGACTGGAAGTCACAATAAGTATTGCAATATTCCTGCTTAGTTTCAGAAGTTTTATATAACACTACCATTAAGGTTTGTGGCTACACTGAATGTAGCAGAGCACAGGATGGGCTAAGATTTTAAAAAATAAAAATGTGATGGTTGGAAAGATAGAGTTGTGGAGTGTTTGCCAAGAGTAATATGAAGAGAAGGATCCTGATGGGAGAGGAAGCGGGTTCTGGGTCAGAACTCTGTCTCTCAGCCCCTGCCCTCAATCCTGCTGCTGGTACAGGGGGCTACGGGGAGCCATGGCCACTCCTCTGCTCCTGTTTTGCCTGCACCTCTGCGCCTGGCTGCAAGGAAGAAGACCTCTTTGCACTGTCCCATCCACATTGTCCCTGTCTACACAAATGGATCTCATACTAAAGGTAAACAGAAATGTGCCATGGTCATGAGGAGAAAGGCAGGAGAAGGTAAAAAATAATTTAAACTGAGATGAGGATTTATCCCATCTTTACCATTTACAGACTACTTTAATTCTCAACCGTAATTCCCCCAGAGCAAGTGAAATTACAGTGAACTATGACATAATTGAGGAAAAAACCTCAGGATCTTGTATGATGATGACTATATACTCATGTCTGCCAATAAAATTATGCAGTCACATTTATTTCTGTTTTCACTGCAACCATTCAACCCACTTTTCTGCTGTTTTGTTTCTAAAAGTTTAAAGAGTCTGAAATAGCACATTACTCTTCTTTTTCCCTTATCTAGCCAGATTTTTATATATACTTCAACACTGAATGTGCAAAAGGACTGTTTTGACAATTATTTTCTGAAAATGCTGTTATAGTTCTTAGCTGTGAAACTGAACTTACATTACCTCAACTGACCGGACCCATAGCAGACTCTCAGATGGAATGTATGCATCACTCTTCGCCAATTCAGAGGTTATTTAATACGGTATGTCTGGAACCAGCCTTTTTGTTGAAATTGTTTTGGCTAAGAAACTATCCAGATGAGTCTACTGCAAAACTATGTGCTTTGACTGGGATTTTCAAAGTTGGTCTGGAAATGCTCCACTCAAAAATGGGCAGTGTTAGAAACTACTTCTTTTGGAGTCTCTATCTTAAACCAAAGAATTGTTTTTGGTTTGTTAATTTTTAATTTATTTTTACATAGGATCAGTACAACTCGTGTATGCATGTATTATTATATGCAAAACAACTTTACCTTTCTTCCTCATTTCTTTCACTGACTGTTAAATTTTTTTCAATAAAACATCAGCAGATAAAGACAAGGAAGGGTGATAAAGACAGGAAAGAGCTGTGATTTAGTCATGTGGATGGGAGTTATCATTTTGCAATATTCTGTTTAGCCATGCATCATACTCTTCCGAAATTTTTAGTTACTATGTTAATGGGAATAGCTGATGTATTGCAGTAAGTGCTGGCACTTTTCTGCTGTGATGGTTTTCTATTCACACTAATGAGCATTTTTCTTTTAAATTGGTTGCACTGTTTAATTCATTGTTATACTTATTTGACACCCCAGAACAAATTCTGCTCTCAATTATACTTGTGTAAATCTAGGATAAGCCATCTGTTCTCATCAGTGTTAGACCTTGATTTGTCCAGTGATTTAAACAAGCCTTTAACCTTAAGCACATTTCCATCACACACTGATAGTTAAGGAGACTGAAGTGTCAGGTTTTTTTCTTCCTTATGTTGGTAAAACGAAGAGAGTTTGAGCTTGTGTAGTTAATTCTACCATTTCACAGCTAAATGTATATCTCTGTATAGTACAGGCTGTATTAACAGAGACTGAGCCATCCTTGAAAACAGCAGTCACAATGAGTGAAATATTAAGCCCACATCAGTAGGCATTGCTGAGAAAGCAGAGCTTGTTAACCTGGGCATGACAGCCCCACTGCTGCTTCTGCTATTTGAAAGATGACTGAAAAGCTGTGTACTCTTGTGGGAAGGTTTTGGTGAATTTAACAGTGATGAGCTCAAGTTCAACCTCACCCAGATACCTGCCCCATAGCTGTGACTTAGTGAGACCTGGCATCTGTGGAAGGAGCAGAAATGAGTGTGCCGACTCTTCCCTCAGCCACTGGAGTTGACAGTCTGGCATATTAATTTGAGTTGCTTTCCTTAGCCAAGAGTTTTGTCTGGATGGTTTTTCAAGTCCTGTGAGGTAGACTGGATTCAATTTTTCATCTTACTCATCATTAAGTGGGTAATGGGCAGTTTCAGGCTTGTAATGAAACTAGGTCAAACAGTAGCCTGCTTGTATAAGCTCCAAATGTCTGGTTCACTGGAGTTTGGTATATCTAAAATGACAATAGATGGTATTTTGATGTACTTTACAGAGCAGAAAAGGATAGACATATATTAGTCATGAATAGATTTTTCTTCTGAAATATGCTGCAAACTAATTATGTCCCAAGCCCAACATTTCACTTTTCAGGACTTTGGGATGTGGTCAGAAATGCAATTTCAATGTCCAAAATTCAATTTATGTAGTTAAAATCCTGGCAGCTGTCACTGCACTAACTCTAATCACCATCTCAGAAAAGATACTTTGAAGTCCAGAATTTAAGTCTATGAGGGAATATAATACAAACTATCATAAAATCTTTATATAGCCCCCCTCCTCACTCATTCAGTGTTTCAAGTACTTTGTCCAGCTGTGACACAATAGATAATACACAGTATAGCTCTCTTTGGCAAAGCTAATGTAGAAAAAAACCCAAACCAAAACAGTTCATAATTCCCATTTTTGAAATTTAACCAGGTCTGCCGTGACCACAGATGAAGATAAACTCAGAATTTATTATTTGTAAAATTTGCATATACACAGTTTTGTACAAGCTTCATAACAAAGTAAAAAGAAAAAAAAAATGAATGGTAGATGCTGAAATATCAGATTGTAAGGCATGTTCTAGGGGTTCTCATGTGGTCATTCCTGCTTAGCCCACAGCAAGCCACTAATTCAGGCTCTACCATTTCTCTTCATGTCTTTTCTTTCTTCTGAGCTCCTCTGGGGTGAAACTGCCTTTTACTCTCTGCTTGTAAGAGTAGATGGTTTAGTCAGGAACTAGATTATGAATTATGATAATGGCACCTGGCTACTATAGATAACAGCATACTTAGACAAAATGACAGAACCATGTAAGGCTTCACAGAGTGAAAATGAAGGCCTGGAAGAGAAGCATCAACAGAGGTCAGGATATTTACAAATTTGAAGGGAATTTGAATTAGTAAAATTTTCAGAATACCCCATCTTTAGGGACCTAGTGTCCTTTTATATAACTCACACTGTGAACTCAAACCTACACTGCTGAAAAAATGAAGACTTTTAATCTTTCCTGGTCTATATCCCCATCAGGCTCAGTTTTGCTCCAGTGCCATAAGTCTTACTTTCCCTTCTGCTCAGCCTCACACCCTCGGTATCTCCAAAGGTAGGGGCTTAGCTATTCCAGTCTTCAGTCTTACATTAAGCACACCTTCTTAAAAATGGCATCTGTGGATTCAAAACTATCACGGCCAAAAGGAGTCAAAAGTGTAGGTTTCCCATATTGTAAATATTAGTCTATTCTCTTAGGCTATTGTGTGGAAGTCAGTGCATGACCTGAGCATGTCTAATGGATCAGGCTTCTCTAAGGAGTTAGGGTGGATTTAGCTGCCTCGTGCCTTTTATTGGCTTTCACTGCAGTGTAGACATTTTATCCCCTCAGCCAACGCATCTCTGAGTAAGTGATTGCCAGTGCTGAGGAAATTTGTGCACTGAAACGGAGGAACAAATTGATTTCAAGCACCTCCAAGGCTTAGACAGGACTGGAGTGTCAGCAGTCTGAGAACTGTGGACCTAGTATAGGGGGCTTGGGAAGTAAGAATGAAACCTAATCCGAGGGGCAGGCAGCTGGTCCCTGGGCTTGGTGTAACGGTTCAAATGAATACCTGCACTAACCGTTCACAGTCTTCCTTTTTTGAAAGGAAAAAATCAATGTATTATTTTGTTCTATCCTGACCCCACTTATTACTTGAGCAGAGTGAATAATTCACAGTATATATATTCCCTGACAGAGCTGCTATTTCTCCTCTTGGACATGAATCTATGAAACCATCTGCCTGTAGCTATAAATAGATTGCAGTTTTCTCATGTTTATCTGTCTGAAAAAATGCAATTTTTTTTTTTTAATCCCAAATCCTATTATCACTATGGATTAATCATGACCTAATCTCTGAACTGTGTTTTCTGTTCACAGAAATCACTAGGGTGGTATATTTCAGCCACAGATTCAGAGAACTCACATGTGTTGCTATTTGTTATTGTTTAACCTTTTTTTTTTTTTTTTTTGGTCAAGATTTATGATGAACAAATTTACACATTTCTAATCTATTCAATATTATAAGAGCTGAGGGAAGATACAAAAATGGGTGCAGCATAAAATAAAACTGAAAAAGAGTGGTTAAACAGACTAAGTAGTTTTCTGAGTCATTTCTGAACCCAAAGCTGACACGGAAATTTGAAGTCAAATGTGTTCAAAACCTTGCAAATAATACTTTGAAATTAAATTTCCACTATCCTTTATTGTAGTAACATTCTGTGACAAGTACAGCAGTGGCAGGGTGCAGGTTGAAGGAAGCATAACAGATATGAATATATTATAACACTCACAACTATTTTTGGAAGGATTTAGGTTTCATTTGGAATGCGTTTTACTGTAGTCATTGCAGCCTTTTTTATGCTCGATTAATCATTGTTAATTTGTGAACTGGTTAAGACAAGGGTTACTTCTTACTGCAAGAATGTGAGTCATCTTGGTGGATCCAAGGCTGTCTGCTAAAAAGTTCTGGTTTTCTGTCTTTCTAGAAGTCTGTTGTCCAATTCAGCCCTACAGCTGGATCAACAAAACAACACTGAGTGAATCATCCGCTGTCACCCCTGTAAGCAAGGTTCTTGCAGTAACTCTGAGTCAGGTCTAGAACTAATGCCAAATTTAAAATATGGCCCCATCTAAGCTATTTCTTCACAAGTGAATTGAGGTCTGTAATTGTCTTAAAAGATATTTTTATCCTCTGAAAACAAGTCTAGAAAAAGAGATAGGAGAGAACTGATACTGCACTGAAACCATGTGAGCTTCAAACAGAAAGACTGATAGTAACAAATATATATTACAAGCTTTTGTATCCTTAATATGCTGGACACCTCATGACATATTGATTGCCTTTAGTTCACTAACCTCAATGGCAGTTTAAAGCATTTGGTATAACTGGAGATAATAATAATTTCACAGGAAAAAACTTTTCTAATGTGGCAGCTTGTATGAAAAACTGTCATGTTAACCACGGCATCTTGGGTTTCGCATTGAATCTTACCACATATTCAGGCTACTTAAGTGCAGCAATCCCTGTCTATCAAAAGGTGGATCGAGGTGTTCAGAAGTTTAATTTCTCAGGTTTACATTTGGCACTTAAATATGCAATCTGAGTCCTAAATTACCATTTCCTTCAGTTGGATATACAGCTACTTTTTGTTAAAATTATTGCTCCTTTTTTATGAAACATCTAAAAATTGAAAATTATCTTGATAAAAATTTCAGTAATAGTTGTTTTCACTACAAAGATGCTTGAAAACTTTTCCATTCTTTTCTGTATTTCTTTATTTTAATTTGGAGCTTTTTTAGTTATAAATAGATACAAGTTGCAAGATATTTTCTGATTAGGTGACCTAGCAAAATATGGTCAAGAAATTTAACAGAAATTATTTTGATTTATATTCCTTCAGGATTATGCCAGCATACTGTGATCACCTCTGAATTGATGAAGGGGAAGTAATCTACCCGCAGCCCTGTGGGCTGCTGCAAAATCAGGGAGAGCAGCTTGTCATCTTCTGTCTATTAGCTGTCTGAGTGTATTCCTGATCCATTCTTGTGACAGTTACCTCATCACCCCATACGGTAGTACTGTACATTTCTTCCTGTATAGGAAAAATGGCATGGGGTTCAAATAGTGATACAGTCTAGACAGATTTACTACACGACTTATTTTGAACAGCTGAGTTGTCTATATTCTTTGTTAATATTAAGGTACAATTTTGATAGGTTGGCTGGTTTCAGTACTTGTTTGGTTTTTTCCTATGTCTGCCTATGAGGAATCTGGCTTGCAATACATTTTCACTTCTTCTGTTTCTATGACAGTGCTAAGATCTGCACAGCTCCTTCTTTTATGCTTTTAATTTTTCTACTGTCTTATATTAGTGAAATGTCAGTAAAGATTCCTCTGTCCCCATATCAGAATAATGTTGGCCCAATGCAGTGGAAAGTCTGCCACAAAGCACACAGATTCTAAGAATCGTTCATTTTTCAGTATATGAGTCATTCTTCAGTTGAAATCCCAACACGTTTATCTTATGTGAGGTGCCTTGACTCTGCAGAGATGACTGAGAATAGTAACTCATGTACCAGTAGTCTTCATCCCCTTTAGTAGGATTTAACAACACAAGTTTCATATATCAAGATCACAGAGCTATGTGTATGTATAACAAGCTCATTGCATCTTACTGTAAATTTATGTACTCGATTACTACTTTATATCAAGTCAAGGAGAGCCTTTACTCACCTTGAAACTAGAAGTGATGCGATCCAATACTATAGCATCTCAGAAGTGGTTAAAAAAAGCAACAGCTACTCTAGCAGATGTAATTGAGGAGTCAGTTACCAAATAACAGTGTAAAAGCCTGAAGCCAAGACAGACCACTTCTGGAAAAGCAGACTTAACAGTACAGTGGGAAAATTTTCACATGGAGATAAAAAAATTATAGATAAAAAAGGGATTCTAAGTGGAGGGCAGCCCAAAGATGCCGGTAGGATTTCTGCAGCTGCCTAATTCAGGGTCTCTGGGTTAGGAGCAGAGGAAACTTTGGGCCTGAATGTCTGGATGTAAAATCCATCTGTACTTTAATTTTGTTTGAAATCCTTGAGAGAGGAAAGCAGCAAATGGGCCTTAGAGAATGGACATGAGGTAACAGAAAATTTCTAAACTGCCTTGCTAGCTGGACTTGAGTTTGACTCATTTTCTGAGCGGAGATACTTGATTCCCTGTTCATAAGGCATTTTAGCACCTAAACTTCCCTGCTTGGAGACTTAATGGCTAGTACCCATCAGCAGAGGAATCCTCCTTTCTTTTGTCATCTCAAAATCTGCCATAAACATCGTGACTTATAACTGTGTAGAAACCAACACACTTTCCCCAGGAGTATCTAGTAATTTTTCAGACTTTTGACAAAAGTAGCACTTCATGTGCACCTTTTTTTTTCACAGAACGTTAAAGTCTATACAATATATATGAAGATATACACAGACTATGAAATGGCAATCTAATTTTGCTCTGATATTAAAGACACATATCCAGCAAACAAAACTAAATGTTCTTAGGCCTTATTTCTTAATGCTTTGACTATACAGGTCCTGAGGGACCCTTTGGAGAGGAAAACTGCTGTGGAGAGAAATTTTTATCTGGAGAAAGTGGTGTTACTTGAAACTGCTTAGAGGTGTAGACACCTACACAAGTTTAAGAGTTCATGTGAATTCTGGGATATTTATTTATTTATTTATTTAAGAGTAAGATGAACTAAATGTCTGGCATAACAACTTATAGTCCTGTGAGGCTAGCCCATTGATTGGCATTCAGTACGAACATTTCAGAATGTAAAACCAAAAAGTTACTCTGACGTTGCAGAAAATTCTTGAGGGAAACATGTTTAGAAGGAGAACTGTGTTGTGCTTGGGAAAGTCCTACAGTAACCCAGGAGTGGAAAGACCTGAGGTGCCAGATGAACTGTAGTGGTTTGATTCAGGACTTACCAGTGCAGGGGAAAAGAATCCAAGTGTCGTTCCCTGCAACCCTTCAACAACTCAAGTATGCAAATGTAGAAAAATTACATGAAATTATTCTAACTGAAAGGTAACATTAGAATGTAGAACCCCATCCGATTAGCATACGAAGAAGTCCCATTAGGTGCTCTAAGAGACTTAGACCACAATAATCGGTGTGCAAAAGCGCACTGGGACAAAAACATATACCAACTATGCTCACAAGTGGATAAATCATTGACAAATATTTTATCAAGTGCTCCAATTAGAGTGGGTTGTGTGCAAATTTATTCTAATTTTGCAAAAACACTGACCTGAAAAACGGACTTTATGTTTCTGTGAAGAGGTACCTGTTAATGTTAACAGATAAAACAACCTTTCTACATAGTGTTGGAGTATGGAAAAACTTCACTAAAATGCTCCCCTTACCTTTGGTAAGCAAAAAAAAAAGTGATAAACCAAGTGAAATCAGTGAGTCTTGGCCTTTCAATAAATAGGATGGTTTTAAAGAGCTTGTGTCAAGAGGCTCCTTCACAATAATCACTTCTATATGAACAGCAATTTTAAATGAAATATATTTAATTGAGTGAAAAACTGTTAAAAAATATATAACCAATAGTATAAACAAGGTTAGGTCAATGGTAGGAACTCGTAAAGAATGATTCTTTAAAGCTTCCTAATCTCTTCTCCTTGAGAAGTTTTCAATATGAGCATCAGAGTAAAGAAATTTTTGGCAATATAACCTTCAACTGACACTAAAAAAGATAACCTTACCAAGTTTAATAGGATCATATTTTTACAAATTTAGGAAGTGATGAAAATTTTGAGTTACTTGAACACAATTTTTACAAAATTTCAACTGTATATAGCAAATATCTGAGAAAAGTACAAAGTAAGGTTGGAGATGTTTTGCATGTCTAGATGAGACAATTATTTTCTACTTATATTTTAACATTGAAATCACAAACAACTTTGCTAAGGTTGATATTTTTAATCTTTCTTTTTAGTTTTAGTAATTTTTTTACTGACCTTATATTTTTATACCTATTTGCTTAAGCAAACTTTTAATACTTGTTTAATTAATCTTTCATCCAGTTTAATTTCTGTTTTATGGAAATCTTATGGTATGTATCTGGATGACATATTTAAATATGGACATCAAAGAAAAAAAAAATGACATATTCCTGTGATGTAGGAAAAGCAGTTTAGCACAGGTTTAGCATAGCCTCCCATATTTGAATACTAGAGTGGTTGGGGATTATAGCACATAATCTAGGACTTTAATTAGTTCATGTGAATTTATGTGCTTACATAACTTCTTTGAAAGAGACACTTCCTGAATTGGGAACCAAGGGACAACTGAACGAGTCAGGAAACAAATAAACAGATATTAGGAAACAAATGCTTATATGTCTATGACAGAAGAAAACAGCCAAAATACTGCATTAGTCAGTGAGTAAGCATAAGGCAAGATGGAAAATAAATTATCGTTCTGTGGCAATTTTTTTCTCCCACATATTCTGATGACAATTCAAAGCCAACAACAGATGCAATTCTAATTTATCTCATGTTGTGGGTGAAAAGACTCGAATATCTCACTTCTGAAACCTATACTCTTGTCTCAGCCTCTCAATGGATTGTGAACAGGAGAAATAACAAAATTTTTGGAAAGGGTCTTCGAAGTTTAAGGTCTATGAGGATATTTAAGAGTTGCTAATAGGTATCTTTTACCTCATGCAGAGGATGCTAACTTGTAGAACTGTATTATAGAAGTTAAAATATTTTCTTCGCATAGATATGAAGCTTAGTAGCATTGTGAAATACAGTAATAAAGTAAAACCATCTTTTCATCATTCACAAGTTTAGATCAATTACAAGCTTGCGTTTTTAAGGGGTTCTCTCATAAGAGATCACATCCTGATTGAAATCTAAGAAGGGAAAGAAAAAGCCTAGTTAGACTACCAGAAGATCCAAAATTAAATCTAACAAAGGAAGTGGTTCAGCAAAATCCAATCTGTACATCTTTTTTTTTTTTTTTTTTTTTTTTTTTTTTTTTTTTTTTTTTTTTCCTCAACTTAGAGTTCAAAAGAAATATCAGCTCTGTGGTTATGCAATGATTGAAGAGGTTAGTAGTAGATCAAAGCAGAGGACAGAAGAGACATTGGTGAGCATCTAGGAGGGAAAATGGATAACATTTTCCTTGGTCTGGTCTGAGAAAATATGGGAATGTGAGGGAGAGAAGGGGGAGGAAACATAAGATCAGACTTCACAGAAGAAATACTTTTGCTCAGAATGACTGGTGAAAATTTCCAGAGAAAAACTTGAAAGATGCTACCCCTGTACTTTAATCCTTCAAAATGTTTTCTGTAACTAATTCCTCATCTGAAATCTGTTACTTTGTTTTAAAATACATTACACAATTAAAATCCCCCAAAACTCCAAGCCACATTTATTCTTTCTCCTTAGTGCTCTGCTGTGTTGCAATATATTACAAAGAGATTTTTCCTTGGGAAATGAAAACTTTTCCATATTAATCTTATAATATTCCTGTGATTTAACAATATATATTTTCCCTTTTTTGTTAATGGTTGAAAATATTTTTACTTCTATTTTCAACATTTTTAAGTCAGAAGGAAAAATATTCCTTGTAGTTTACCATATAAATAGATCTACAGTCATATAGAATTATTCACTATTCAACAATTTGCGCAAAGTAAATTTCTAAAAATAGTGAAGCTGAATTTCAACAAACAACTAATTGTTATATGTATCCCAGGTCTTTTGTAAAATATCCTTGGCTTTAGGATTAATAAATATATATATATATATATATATATTGTACTACAGTAAACACCTCTGAAATATTAGAGTCTTAGCCTAATTCCATTCTTCCATTTTATCTAGTTGACTTTTACTTACATCCCCAGTTCTTCTCCTGATGGTACTCCTGACTTGCACATGGCAATCATGTGAAACTTTCTTTGGAAGAAATTTATCACATTTGCTGTGTCTGCCAGTAGGACTGTTTGTGATTTTACCGGTGGAAAATATGAAGTGTCTCAAACTATTTACCTGTATATTACAGATCAAAATCAGACTTAAAGACAATATTACATGTGTGACTCCCAAAACATGAAGGAAAGTATTATATGTATCCTGTCAGCAGGAAAAAGGTTCTTTCTATCAAATTCTGTGGGTGGAAGTGGGAATATATTATAGATGCATAATTAGTGAGAAGCAAGCATATTCCTCCCTATGGTCCAGAGGAATTTCTCAGGCCATTTGATAGGTGTAATGGACAAGACGCCCCCCAATTTTAGGATTATTTTCAGGGAATGAGGTACTTCTTTATAGGATGAGAGCTCTAATCACTGAGCCACAGAATAAAGTAAATCTTCTTTGGATCTGTTTAAAAAACCTAACATATCTTCTACTGTATTTTGTACAGAGCCTAATTCCATGGTTATGACTTAGGTCTTGGGAGATAATCACTCAGTCTGAGCATATGCCTCCAGGGTTGGCAGCAGTTGAGCAGTGGGTTTTGAAGGTCACAATTTTGGATTTAGGCAGAATTTAAGTGCTAATTTGAGGGATTTGGAAGCTTTCCCAAGATCAGTAGCTGTGGTATAGCAGCAAATGAAATCCAGTTGTCTTGTGTTGCAACTAAAAACACTGGGCCCCAGAAAAGACTGTGAAATAACTTGGATGTTAAATCATGGTCTTCATGGAAAAAAAAGGTTAAGGGGTGGGATTTGTAGGTATTTAAGAATCGAGTCACCAAGTGTTTCTTTTTATATACTGATAAAATAGATGATATTCTGACTAAATTTGCTATTGAAGAAACTACTGTGAGGGGGAGGGTTACTACAGTCGTTGTGACAGGCCTATCAATGGCCTTTCATGGTTATAATTTAAAATTGCATTTTGCAGCTACACAGATGAGGGAAAAGAATTCAGAACAACAATTTCTTAGAGACAGATTTGTGGTAAAGAGTGACGAGAGTAATTTTGCTTTTAGAATCCTATTCTCTGACACTTCGTTAAGATGACAAAAAGCAGAATTTATTACGTTTGGGAAGATGGAAAAATTCTACTGAATGAATATTTGCAAAATTTGTGCTCAGTGAAAATAAAGAGCTAGAGCAGGAGGTCTCTCTGACTTAGATACCCTAAGTCCTCATTCAAGTGCATGGTTATTGGCAAGCAAACACAAATCCTACTGTGCCTTGCTATTTAGCCATGACATTCATCATGGGTAAAAACGTGCATATTACACATTACTTTAAAAATATTTGTTGAGAAGGAAGACATGGCTTAAAAATACATGTAAATATACATCTGAAGGGCTGCAGTGACTGCCTTTCTTTTGATCTCAGATTCAGGTTCACTTTTCTTGGTAAATCATATTTAAATTACATTTAAATTAAGTAAGAGAAAAGACCCTTATATTGACTTCAGTAAGAGGAAAGGTAGATTGTGTTAGATTTTTCATAACAGGCAGTTATTCAGCAAGGCAGATATACATGTGTGTATTGAAGGCATGCTACTGTAAACTTTTCTAGAATAGCTTTTATTATCTGTAAGAGTGTATAATCAGGCAGTTTGTCAGTCTTTCTAAAGGAGAGAATAACTGCATCTTCAGAATTCACATAGCAGAGATATTCCATGTTAAGAACAAACTCTCACTTTTCCCCCAGTGAAGGATCTTCACATGTGAAGATGCTCAACAAACCTTAAAACATATTCCACAATTAAAGCAAATATGAAGAACCTAAATAATCAAGCAATGACAGATTTGAAGTGTGCCTGATACTGAATGAGGGAGCAAGACTACAGCTGTATTTAACAAATCTAGTCTAGTTTAATGACAACTAGGGGATGAACAGATTATTAAAATTCCTTTTTCCTGTTCCTTCTATATAATGGTTGGCCCTGTGACAATTTGATGTTTCTTAAACAAATTCCTCATTCTGATTAGCATTGGAAAAGATATTCCTAAATCTAACTGGCTGGAGTTTCAGTTTATCTGGAAGAACAAAGGCTTGACAAAATCTTCTCTACCCTTCAAGTGCTAAAAGCCGAGAGTTTTCGCTTCTTGCATTTCTAAGAAAAGCCTGATTGAATTTACTTCTGTTTCACTTTTAAAACTTCCTGGCTTTTCATTCACAAATCACACGTTTGTCTTCTCTCAGAAAAGCTTTGCTTTTGTTTTTGTGACCTACATTTGTAGGGCTCCTAATTAGCAGGCAGCACTGGGATCTGCCGTCCCTCAATAACTGCTGCTTTGGGATCCTAAGCTAAACAGAAAGCATGTTGCAGAAATCCCAGTAAAAGTAACTACCTACTACTGTCTGGGACCTTTATGTGAACCGTGTAAAACAAAAAAGCATCATAACTGCAGATTTTCCCATATATTGCATTAATGTCCTAGTCTGGCAGCTATTGAAGTTAATATGAGAAGGATCAAGCATAGAGGTGAGGTAAGGTAAGTTTTCATTGTCTTTAAAATAAAAATGTACCAGCATTACGTTTATCAAAGCATTCTTCCCTGCATTAGTGTTTGCAACCACTTCCTCAATTTTCTCTTTTTTCCCCAAAATCTTTCCTTAGCCTCTGTAAATAATCTGCTCATTATTTTTACCTTTGTGTTAAGATGAGAAAGTGGCACAACATCCTACTTAAACAACATTAGACCACACAACAACTAAGTCGTCTCTGTTCCAGTTGTCAAAGTAAAAAGGAGTTTCGCTGCAGCTGGAATGCAGCATTTGACTCTTACTTTTTGTATTAAAAACTTGTTATGTATTGTGGTGAATTCATATGAACTGCTGCATTCAAGCACATCAACCAGCCAGCTCCTCCTATCACAAGATCTTGTTACTTGCTTGATGACATTTTTAGACTCCTGCTATGCCTATCCCCAACAGTGCCATGTTAGTAGCTGGTCAGCCTAATGCTTTGTCCTGCAGAATAAGTAATATCATTATCATTAGAACAAATGAAGTTTCATGCTTCACTTCATACTCTGAGTTTGCTGTACTTAAAGGCACTTTTTTTCTTAAAAAATTTCTTATGATGAAGCCTTTTCCGAAATCTCAGCACCTGCAACATTTCTCAAAACTTATAGGAATCTTTAGCTCTGTGATCACTGTTCCTCAAAATCAAGCTAAACTGAAATTAGCCAATATGCTCAAAAGCTGTTGGGAGACATAGA